ATTCTATATAAATCCCATTACCAGAAACATCTCTCTATTTGAGAGGCCCTGTAAACCAACCATCACTCTCCTACTATCAACCTCACCCCATTTAAAAGTAGAAATGGAGTGTTAAAAGTTTTTTTTTTTTAAATAGAAAGATACTTACGCAAATTCCAGCCGCACTCAACATGGGAAGACACGGAATGAACGCTCCTATTCAAAGCAACACAAAAATAAAATACAACGTAAGTAGCCAAAACATGAGGAAAAACTAACGACACCACAACCCCGTCAAAAATGGCTAAAGAAGTGGTCGAAAGCGCTTGGAACAATGAAAATTATGACAAAAAAAAGACGTAAGAATGCTGGAAAAACTAAATAAAAAAAATTAATTTAATCTACTTTGTCTGCAGTATTTAACGAGAGATGTTTAAAAGAAAGGTTACTGTCCAAATATACATTTATATATATATAAAATATAAATTATGAATTGTTTCGAATCCACCCAAAAATACAGATTACCATTTTTATTCCCCACCTCTACCACAAATTCCAAACATAGTTTTTTTTATTTTTTTTCAGGGTTTACCGTAATGCTTACAGTAACCGGTGTTCTCGAGCGAACCTCCATTTACTATAAATACTGACCAGACTCTACTTAGTTTAACCTCAGTGATTTAACCAGAGCCGTTGCTTTGAACATGATTTGATTGTAAACATATTATTAGGTTGACACAAATGTTTCCAGCATTTTGTGCCATAATGTGTTATTCTGATATATATATATATATATATATATATATATATATATATATATATATATATATATATATATATATATATATATATATATATGAATGAATTCATTTGACTTATATATTTTTAAAACCGAAGTTTTTTTCATTATTAAAATTTAGATACGGAATTTATTTATTACCGAATTATGTTTATTTATATAGAAAATATTTTTATATTTTTTATTATTCACAAAAAAAAGCGTTATTTTTAAAATATACGAAAAACCTATTTAAGTTTTTTTAAATAATAATTCTCTAAGTGGCATAAAATTTATAAGTAGGACAAAAATTTGAATTTATTTATTCATAATTAAATTACGTATATTATAGAAGCTAAATGTTAATGGAATAGGGATATTTCTCTTTGAGTTTTCTAATTTGATTAAATTTCAATATTAAATTCACAATAATTTATTTAATTGTCAACATATATATATACATACATATATATATGCACACATATATACATACATATCTATATACACACACACACACATATATATATATATATATATATATATATATATGCCAACACCATCTTTTGCACATTATGAGGGGAAACTTAGATGTTTATTGAGAAGTTTACTCAGCTTTTTATTGCTTTTCCACTCAGTCAACTGTTGCATATTGTTTACAGAGCCCTAATAAAAATTCTTAAGCTAGGAAAATAGCTCCCATATGAGCTTTCGTGAAAGAACATCAGCCTGCCTTGCATGTCTTTCTTTTGCCTTTCTCGACACACAAAAAGTCATTTTTGTACAACTTACGAGTATCAAATACAATAAATAAATAAACCGAATCAACGGTTTTTCACTTTTAACTTAAATTCCAAGCTAATTTATTATTATTATTATTATTATTTTCTTTGATTTCTGGCGTTTACACATTTCTACGGT